ACATAAGTTTAATCCATCCTGGTAATCCATGATTGTGACCTTTCATACAACTAAGTAAATCATCAAATAACCCAATTGCTGCAAATGCAAGAGTTGCAACTGTTGCTCCATAAAGTTGTGCAGAACTCTGACCAGCTATACCTCTAGCCACAGCAATGCCAATTGGTATGAAAAATAATCCACCCATTGTAGGGGTTCCCTTTTTAATGTAGTGCATAGTAGGGCCTTCTTTCCGAAGGATTTGATGAATATTCATGCTATCAACTATAGGAACATAAAACCATCCAGCACTTGCTGATAAAGCTGCTGATAACAGAAAAGGATGTGTAAGGTAAAATGGTCCCAATGGTTGCCTGATGATTCGCCATGAACACCAATCGAACAACAGAAGGAATGTGGCTAAGCAAATTATGAGTACGATATTAATGATGACTCCTTGTCTAATCCTGATACAGAGTTAAAAACCGAATTCATGTCAGAGACCATATGAAAGAATTCTTAGAAGAGAATTAATCTATTAAGAGCCGACCAAAAACACAAACCAACTTCACTACTGAAGATACTGCAGAATTACAACATGTAACCTTGGTACACAGACACTTCAAACGCGAAGCAGCACTGTGTCAGACACATGAATTGTGCATGGAAGTTCTGCTTTGTGTACAGTTTTCAGAACTTGACGCATGACAGTTTGTTGTCCGTCCATGTTTTCCTGTTTAGATCCCTAGAACATGCTTGAAATGTGCACGTGTGTGGTGGTGGTGGGGGTACAGGATAACAGCTAATGCTGCAAAATGAGCTTCCAAGAAATAAATATTGGCGACAACTACTCTGATAGTCACATAGGAACGTGTGGACCTGATCATTCTTATATCTTGGTAGTTCATTTGGCTAAATGAGGTAGCAGCTCATATCCAGTACACCCAAACACACAACACCCAACCTTGGACATATATGAACATTGGGCATATATGAGCTGCAAGATATAGATGTTGGTGGTGATACCCTGCTAGGTACAAGTGAATGTGCAGACCTCACCACCTCTAAAATGTATAGATAAAAAGAAATTTAAAATAGTTGAAGGGCTTGGATTCAAAAGTGGATGTCTCGACCCCGAATTCCAATGGAGGACTTGGATTCAAATTCTCTACAGGCACAAACATAAAATGTACTTATGTTAGTACGTACGTGCGCATGTAGAGAACTTAAACGCCTAATTTGTCAAACAAAAACCTCACCTTCTTCTTCTGCGCCCCCCTTGGGAGGAAAGAAATTTCCATGCACGCAATTCTGAAGAAGCTTCATTCCTTTTGGAACTATCCTTACTAGTTGGCAAATCAGTGTCCTCACTCGGGTAAATGGCACCAGCGTTCTTTTCCTCTTCTGCATCACTTACTCCATAAATCACACTCGCCCCATTACTCTCCTCAACAAAAATAGGAACAGCGCTAGAATCCTAGGAGTTAAAAATTGATCTCAAAGTCATTGCAGACCTTTACCCCAAAAAAAAGGAAGGAAAAAAAGAAAAAGACACAACTTTTTCCTATTAGTCGTCATGTACCTCATCGATTGCCCTGATGAGAAAGAAAGGACGCCGGGAAATGCAGCGGGCCGATGAGGAGACGATCGAGTTAGGGTTTGACGAAACCCTAGGAGACGGAGAGAGTGGGGATTGGCTGAAGACATGATCGAGTGATGCGAGGCCTAGGCGGAGGCGGAGAGGTTTTATTGACGTTCATATTTTTTTTTAAATATTTATTTGACGAATGTTTCGTACTTTGTTTGAAAGTGAGCAAAAGGGCGCACTGGGGGCGAGAAACTCGTTCGAGATCTTTAGGCTGGAATCTAATGTAGCGAAATAATTGGGGCAATCAACTACCCGGCCTGCTACTTGATAATTGGGCTTCGGTTTGTACAGTGATGCAATAATCTTGGGTGCGCATCCGATGCATAGCCTCTTAAGCTTAACACTAGTTTCGCCGACTAGTAAAAGTTATTTCAGTCAAATTCGAGTTATTTAGATCCATACTCTATCTAGTTAAGAGTTTTATGTCCAAATATTGGACTCGTCAACATCTCATGGGTCTTAGGCTTCTACTCGGATTGATACGTGATCATATTGTATAACTCACTTGCAGCTCTGTTTAAGAACTTTCATATATATATTTTGCGTACTTGTGCTCTGCTGAAGAACTTCACGTACTTCGTATAAGCAAAACTTCAGCAGAGATCCGTGATGAATCGCCCAAAACTTCAGCTGAAGATCTTCACATACTTCGTATAAGCAAAACTTTCAATTAAATCTTGCTAACGTGGTGATGACATGGCACTGTCATGTCACTGTCACGTTCAATGCAGTAATTGTACTAATTTTCTGTTGACTTGGCAATGATATGACATGACAAACTTGAAATTTCACTAAATTTGCTGACACAACAGCACCATATCATCATCAAGTCAGCGAGATTTAACTGAAGTTATAAATGATCTAGACTGATGACAGAGGTAACGTTAGGCACCTCCAATGATGACTTCCAAATATAGAAGTCTCAAATGATATTTGGCTGAAATAACGTTAGGGACCTCCAACGATGACTTCAGGGACTGATATTTGGCTGAAATAACGTTAAGGACCTCCAACAATGACTTCAGGGACCTTCTCTGAACTATTGCCGCAACTCGTATACATGTGCCAAGTGATCTCAAACTTGAGGCATATGCCTACATCCAACAAAAAACAAAAGACTAAAAGCATCACAAGGAAAGGAACTCGTTGAGAGTTTAGTAGCAGATAGCTAAGCGTCAACCTGTCTTAGTTTCCTACGAATATTACCATAACTGCCACAATAAAAGTCTCAGATGCAGTTATCAATTGAGTGCCAAGTTGAACAAGTTTCTTGCAACAAACAACTCGAAATAAGCATATACAAGGAACGTACATCTATCCATAGTTCCATACTCCTCTTCTGACTTAGCTCGGATAACATCGAGGAGGTTATGCAAAACTGCCAGCAGAAAATTACACCTCCAACTGCAATAGGGTGCTAACTGTTTGTGCTTACTTTCATCAACTTTGCACTTGTAAAAACCAATGCGCATATTAGCCAGCTTTTCTAATAATCATATCATACTCTCTTTAAAAGCACGAGTTTGGGAAAATCTTTCAGTAGACAAAAATACCATTGGAATTCAAATATTAATACATTAAGTAAGAGTAAGTTGATAAATTGATGAATTCTTATTGGATATACATAGTATGAAGATAATGATACTTAAGTAAGAGTAAGTTGATAAATTGATGAATTCTTATTGGATATACATAGTATGAAGATAATGATACAGTTTAAATTGAAATGTAAATTGATGAATTCTTATTGGATATACATAGTATGAAGATAATGATACAGTTTAAATTGAAATGTAAATTTAAATAAAATTATTAAATGCTAAATTTATAAATGTCTACAAAATAAAGGGCGTATATGCAAAAACCAAATAAATTAATGAGATAAATAATGTCTACCCCAAAGGTCGAACCCAGGAATAGCGCAGACCTACAAATGTACATAATGTGGATGAGATGTTTACAAAATCCACTAAACAAATTAAAGAGACAAAAATCATTCTCAAAATTATAAAAAAGAAAAATTAAGGAAAACAAAAATCATACTCTCTTTAAAAGCACGAGTTCGGCAAAAGCTTTCCATAGTCAAAATTACCATGTACTATTGTAAATATTTAATTTAAATTATAATCTATCTAATCATAGTTATATCTTATCTTAATACCCCATGAACTATATATAGCTCAATAATTTAAATAAGATTAATAAAATATATGAAACAACTCTGTGGTATCAGTTTATTACATGAGTATTACAAAAAAAAGTAAAAAGTTTTAAAAATTAGACAAAATACTCTCAAAAGTTTAAAAATCACAAAATAAAAAGGTAAAATTTTAAAACTTGGCAAAGAAAAGAGTAATTGTTTGATATTCTTTTATTAAGATATATAAATGTAACTTATAATTTAAGGTTAAAAGAGTAATTGTTTGATATTCTTTTATTAAGATATATAAATGTAACTTATAATTTAAGGTTTACTATTCTTTTTCTTTGATATTCTTTTATTAAGATATATAAATGTAACTTATAATTTAAGGTTTACTATTCTTTTTCAGAATCTAAAAAAAAGTTAAGTTGATGCTGGTAAAAAAAATAGCAATAATAACAGATTAAAAAAATTCAGTCAATGAATAAAAATTTTAAAAATATATGATAGATTAAAAATTAATGTTATTGTATATATTAAAGTAACTGCATAAAATTTTATCAATATGTTAGAGCAGCAAAAATACATAAGTATCATTAATTAATAGAAGACTAAATCGTAAAAAACTAATAAAAGACTATAATATACTAGCTTAACATTAATTGATTAGAATTTATAAATATTGATGTTTAATGGTAATAATATTTATAGGGTAAAAAATTATAAAGATTTATGTATGGAGAACTATCAGAAAATTTAGAGATATCCTTCAAAAGAATCAAGTAGTTTTTATTTCAAATAGAATTTAGATTGTCCATGAATCACTTCAATTAACACTAACATAAGTTATATTTATCAAAGAAGCAACGACTGAATCCCCATGAAGAATATATTGAACAACTTTGTTTCAATCAAATAAACATTTTTCATGGAAGATAAAAAAATTACTATGACATGACTTTGCGTAAGCAAAAAAATATAAAATCACCCTTTTTCTTTTTCTTATATAGTATCACAACCCTGCGTGTGACTTTATTTAAGGGCATGACTACTAACGAATGTTCAATTCTTAAAGACATGATCAAAGATAATGATGTAATAGCACTATTAAATTTCAAGATCTCTAAATATGAAGGTAATATATTTCATTACTAAAATTCTTATTAAAGGTCACGAAATATAAAATTCACCTTATATCTGTCTCAAATTTATAGAGGATATATGCATGTCATCAAAAATTGCATCAATAATATATATCAACCCAAAGATACAACTTACTGAAGAAACAAGAGAATAGGAAGTAAACCAAGCAAACGTCCATACAACACCGTAAAAAAATATTATTTTTTAAAGCTAATATGCAGCACTCTTTCAGAGTAAGCTATCAAGACAAAAGTATCTCTATTAAGGCTTTTTATAAATGTAACAGAAATTCAAATTACTAATATATATAACCATTATAACAGTCAAAAGAGGTATGATCATAGAAAACCTACTCTAAAATTTATACAATTAAACCTAAGAATAATTTACCAATATACAGACACACTATCGCACCTTTAAGGCAACGATAACTACCATTTATAATACAGTTGAGCAGTGGTTCTATGTTTGCAAAGGCTGTAACAAGAAAATGGATAGAGATGTTAATAATAAGTGTACAAATGATAAATGTTGTAGAATCGTCAATGATGTAGTACTAAGGTTAAGTGATATCCCTTCTTCATGAAATAAATATATTAAAATCAAATATTAATATTATAATCTAAAGCAAATTAACAATGAAAAATGTAATGTATTAGTTCAGATCCTTATGAAAAATGATATAGACAGAGCAAAGGTAACTTTATGACACAGCAGAAATTCTTATTAGATGGACAACAGAAGAATTCATTGCAAAGAAAAAAGTGATAGCTCCTAACCTTATTTATTAAAAGCACAAAAAAATCACATATATGTAATTAACATTTATTCTTATTGAAATAGGAAAAAAATCAAAGTCCATATTGTTAGAATTTTGTGTTGAACATAAGAAATATATTCAAATTCTTTGTGAATTTAGACGAGAAGACAAAAGATGAATGAGTCTAAGGAAAGATAACATGCTCCAGCCTCATATCACAATCAATGTAAACGACAAAGACACTACTTTAGAATTGTCTAGGAAAAAGATAAAGATGAAGAAGGATTGATCTCTACTCAATAAAAAATAAAATAGAAGCAATAAAAGATAATATTTTGTGAAATGTTATAGAATAGTTTAATTTTTTTAATATAATTAGGAACTTGTAGAAGGGATTTTCATATACTACTTTTAGTGCTTTCATATGCATATGTGGATGCTTTTATCATATAAAAGTATACTAGAGTTAGCATTAATATTTAGTTTATAATTTTTTTCATTAACTATTTTATGTTATTTTAATCCACTTTAAATCAATCATCTTGGCTCGTTGGCTTTATTATTCATCTTCCTTTTATAATGTATTTTTTTCAAGTGTTTTTTCATAACACTTACTTCCTCAGGTCAAGCTCAGTTTCCTGCCGATCCAAATGAAATAAAAATTTAAAATTGGCGTTAGATTATATTTTTCTCCTGACAATTCAACTATCAACATAAAAATTTAAACTGGACGTAGTCTATTCAAACAAACATCAAATAAATAAATAACCAAAGTGTAATCAAGGAACAAATTTTAATAAAAAATAAACCAAAAATACTTAATCAAAGTGAGCAAAAATTATTATCAAAGAGTAACCGAGGAACAAATTTTAGTAAGAAAATAAACCAAAAATACCTAATCACAGTATTTAACCACATGCATTGCACGTGCATAAAATATAGTGTAAGAAAAACCACAAACTCACGCTCAGAGCTACAAGCTAATACATCCAGATTCTAAAAGCTAACGGTATGAATCTACCGCTATTTCCTAATTCTCTTTCATACAAAATGCACGCAGTCGTAAAAAAACAAAAATACAAACGCATGACAGAATTTAGAGTAAAAAAAAAACAGGCTGCCCCTCTATCATTACTCTTAAGTAGGGGTGGGCAAAAACCGAAAAAAACCGGTTCAACCGAAAAAACCGCCCGAAAAAGCGGGCCGGTTAACCGAACCGGATTAAATGGATGAGAAGAAGACTCTAAACCGCCCGAACCGAATTAAACCGGTTTGGATCCGGTTTGAACCCCTGAACCGCCCGAAAAAAAACCGAACCGAATTTTCTAATTCGTTCTTTGTCGGATATTCATATTGCTCAAAATGGGAAGGACTTCGTCGTTCAGAATTCGGTCAAAATGGAAAGGACTTTTAGTTCGGAGGAAGTCGGATGGAATAGCTTTCTTATTAGTGAGTCATCACTTGAGCATTAAGCTATATAATTGCTCGGTAATTTGATTGTTATGTTTACATACATGTTTATATTGTATAGTTCCTTTTTCATTGGGTCTGCTAGCGTATATGCCCGCATTAAAATCGGTGAAACCTCATATAATCTTTCAAATTCTACTAGAGGCATGTTAAGTTGTTTTCCAAGAAATGAAAGATAACCTTTTGATTATAGTTAATTAATATTTGAATGTTACGTAACCATATGTACTTGTTGATATGGTTTGCGCTCATTTCACTGATTTCGGTTTTTTGTTAGCTGTGGCAATGGTGTTACTTCAAACAAGCTCCACATTTCATTGTTTGGGGAAAAAAGTTAAGTAGACAAAATGGACAAATAATGATACTTCATCAGAAATTAATAGGCAATGATCTCAGGTGTGGGCAGATTTTTGTGAAATAGTATTAATTCGGTCCAAAACTGAAACCGATCCGAACCGATCCGAATTTCGGTTGGGCCGAATATTCGGATGAAGGGAAAAAAATCTGGATCTGGATGAGAGTTTTGAGAATTCAAAAAATTCGGATTGGATGCGGATTGAGCTTAAAACCGATCCGAACCGAATATGCCCAGCCCTACTCTTAAGGCTCCACTTTCACAATGCTGATCAGAAACTGTAAGTTCACTGTATCCTGTTGTACTACTTCCCGTTCCATCTGGCATCCTAGGTCCCAGGAAGGCACGCTCACACCATTGCTAGAACTAGAACAAATTTGTCCATGACCTGGAAAAATAAAAGTTAAAAAAAATTGCATGTTTTTTCAGTGCAACTTTTTTATTTTAATATTTTGGGCGTCAGAAGGGTGCAATAACCTTTATGGGAACATTCACCAAGATGGTTGGATCATCAAGCAGAACACTTCCATCATTTTGGGAGAAAATTCCTACATTCTTTTTATCCCACGAAATTCCTTGGACATGTGATTTCACTCGTCACAAGCAAATATTGCCAGTCATCTCCAAGTTCCTCCACAATAGACAAAATTAGGTATAGCTAACAAAATCAAGTGATACACTTACCACCAAAACAACAAAAAAAGGGAAACGTTTAAGATGGAGATATCTGCATTTTTAATCGGACAATGGAACAAAAGCATCAAGGAAAACATCAGAGAAGTAGTCATGAAACCTTAGCTCCTGCATCAGGATTCAGGGAACTTTATCACTGAAAACACTAAATTCTGTATTCATATAAAATCTGCGATTTGTATTGACTTGTTTTCTTCTTTGGGAAAAAAAAGGACGCGAACCAGCTTGGTCCAGTCATATAGTTATGTTCCTCGAAAGATAAAAGTTGCTGCTATTATCCTTACGCAGTTGTATTTTTATGGTCCCATCATCTGCTTCTGTATCAACTCTTCTGCTTGCCTATAGCATCCGGAAGATGCTCCTCCTATATGTAAGTAGAATGGTAGTCACAGAACAGACAGAATAAATGACCCTATTCCTTCCACAACAGCCAGCGCATCCAGTAAGCCAACCAGGTAATTGACAGGATTCAATGTAGCGATGGATACAAGCTTCAATCCATTTTCCTCCTGCTTGATATTTTAATAAAGTGCATCCAGTGATATTTTATTTTATAATAAAGTGCAAAAAGGTTTTCTTAAGATATGTATGGGTTCCACAAAAAAAAATATGGATGAAGGAAACATTGCATTTTGAAAAATATAATGCATATCCTTTTCAAAACTAAGAAAAATGGTCACATAAATTAGGTGAAAGCTGCAAGGTGTATTTGTAATCAAGCATCGACCACCAGGGCTCCTATACATGATTGCTAGCTTCCTGGCTTATAACGTAATCCCACTAAACAAGACAACTATATACCAAAGACTCCAATCACAAGCTAGGACCTTGTCCAGAATGTATTTGGCAAGAAATTTCATGGATGCAATTCGAAATTTATTATATAATTTTAATTTTAAATACTCCTTTAATAATGACATTGGTGCATTGCAAAATGAATGTGATACTTCCTTGTTCCTTCATTCAAAATAATAGTAAACAAAAGGCAAAACATGATTAAAATATATTACAGATAAGACATTAGTCCAACTACCCTTACAAGGCCTCATTATGTTAGCAGATGAGATATTAGCCACATGTAATAACCAACTCATTGAATTAAGGGATCTCACTAAGCAAAGTTGCATGCTCAAAAAAAGGCACCCTGCAGAAATGTGGACATATTAAACAGAAGAATTTTGTAGTGAAAACAACCTATCATAAGCTCTCGCTTCTCTAAAACAACTTCATCTTTATCAAATAACTAGAACATCTCTGGTGAAAGAGACCTCATACGAGCATTCATGTAGTCTCTTACCCAGTAACCTAATGCTAAACTATTAGCATATGCATTTAGTATTAGTATAAAATGGTTGTCTTCATCTCATAACAAAATCATAACACAAGGATATAATCATATATTCCCTGTGGAAAAATTAATTTCTGATAATTAAAGCTAATAAGTAATCTTGAGGACAGAGAGAGAATCAGATGGCAGTATGTTTCTTAGTCAGTCAGAACCAAACTAGATGCTCAACACAACTATAAAGCAGCTGCACCAGGAGAACTTAGTTGAGTACTACATACTCGGCACAACTACAAAATAGCCGCACCAGGAGCATCTAGATAGGGAATCTGTCATAAGTACCTGCTTTCATCATCATTTTCATCATCCCTATTCGCTGCCGATGATATTGAATTAGTGCACGCACCAGGACCAAGTGTGCAGGCACACACGTGCCGTGCCTGCACATATACAACCATAAACCACCAAAGAATGCACGCTAATATAACAATTACAGGAGATCCCACTGGTCAAGGAGTAATTTCGTAAGGTTTTGAGGTTCTAACTGTGTTTGGACTCAGATTTCATTTCAATAGATTGCATCCAGCACCACATGAAGGAAAAAGTTTAAACTAAGTTATATAAGTAAGATTACAAAAACTAATAAAAGGTGATACTTGATGTGATTAAAACGAATAAAGCAATCAAATTAAAAATGCTTAGTAGCTTACTTTTCAACCATTGCATAGCGTTTCACGATCAAGAACTCATAATTTGGTGAAAAGACAAATCAGCAATATCATTTGGAAATATATAATGCCAGTAACCTTTTCATAGCTTGAAATCCATCACATAAGGTATTAGTTATCTCTTGCACATATCTTGTGTTCTTACAAGGGGAAAACACAAAATCTTGGTGAGAAACTAAATGTAAGCACGTGGACAGTAACCTAGGCCTAAATGTAAGCACGTGCACAGTAACCTAGGCCTTAGATTTACTAGCCTGCAGAGTTTGAATCTTCTGCTGCAGCTTCAGGACCTGCATGGAAAACAAAGGAAAATTTGTGTCAAACTGTACACATTATCACCAGAGAAAAAATAGATAAGAAAGATCGCTATTGCAATGCCTTGAAAGTGGATAACATGGTTTATAGGCGGCCATTAACACATAATGGATAATGACAACTAACAGTAAATGCTATAGTATCCGTCGTCTAAAAATCACGAACCATCTTAGACATCCGAATAATCACACCCATCAATAAAAACCAACATAAAAATTCTGGTTCAGGGTTAAGCATATACGAATTATCAACTTCAAGATCTTGACAACCAGCAATTATTATCCTTTTATATGATGAGTCAGTGTCAGCCTGTCAGGCCTCTATGAATTATTAGCTCTTTGTATCCTTAGACCGTAGTTATTTCCAAGTTTTAAATTTAACACAATTTAAGTCACAAATGATGTGGAGAAAGAATAAGCAATGCAATCTCACATCAAAAGTAAAAGAGGAACAATTTCTTGTTCTACATTCTAAAGAATGTACCAAACTAGTGTGCACAGATAGGCCCACCACAATATGCAGCAGTTTTGGTTCGTACAAACTGATTTCTTCTCTATATACACATGGAGCTACGTGAACATTGGGGCAACACGAAGAAATTCACTTCCTCAATTTTACATCTTGAAGTGCCAGCAATACACTATGTTTCTCTCAAACTCCGTTGGCTTGTATATATGTGTGTTTTGTTTCTCTCAATCCTCTAAATCTGACATTGGCTCATTCATGCCCAGCTTTTTTGCACTCAAAAAATGTTTTTTAGAGGATCTAATCCGTTCGTAGATAGCCCAATTCAACTTAAGCAATAGGCTTGCGCTTTCAATGTTAGAATATGAATATACGACTAGGATAAGAATGCTTAGGCCATCCACAGGTTACTTATTCCATTTAAAAGATTAATTAATCCCCAAAATATCAGTGTACATGAGAACAGTAGTCAGTCACTCAAATCTGATGAGTTTCACAGCTTACCCTTGCGCTAAAAAATCTCTATTACTAACCTTGTCTCTCTCGTTATTCTGCTTGCCATCCAGATCCCGAAGAGTCCCATCCAGCCTCTTTGTGTACGGTCCCAACACCAACATTATTAAATAAAAAAATCAGTCATCAACAACCAAAAGAACACACAAAAACATAATCTTGGACAAAATTAGCGAAAACTCACAGCTCAGCAGAGATGTAGTCGATTATTTTCCGGGCATTAGCCCTAGCCTCGGCCAGATCCTGCTTCACGAGCACCGGCCCGATCAACTTGCACACGCTGGCGCGCTCATTCAAGAGATCCAGTTCCTGCAATCGACCGTTATAAAAATTGCATCTTTCGTTTCTCTGGAAGGAGATTATAAGGGATCGGAGACGAGCTTGTTCTCGCCTAGCTGGATCGTGTACTGCTTTCTGATTTGATGGCTCTTGCCGATATCTGCGCCATTAACGAAGAAGAAGAGTGAGGGATGAGGGAATTATTAGGGTTTAGGGCTTTGGTTGAGTGCTGGCCTTTCTGGAAGGAGATTATAAAAATTATTAGGGTCTCTATTGTTGACCGCGGAATCATTTTTATGAGGGATTTATTAGGGTTTAGGGCTTTGGTTGTGTGCTGGCCTTTTTGGAGTTTGCTGAGGGGTTCTCTGCTGTTAACTAAGTATGGGCCTAAATGCAGATAAATAAACGACTAAGGGCCCATTTCGATGATGAAATTATAACTAAGTATGGGCCTAAATGCAGATAAATAAACGACTAAGGCCCATTTCGATAATAAAACTATTTAAAGTAAGAAGTAGGTTATAGAAATAACTTTTAAAACTATAACGTAGGAAGTAGTAAAAATAACATTTTTTTATTTGTTTCATATATTTTTAGAAGTAATGGAAGAAGACTTCATTTACTTTTTTTGTTTGGATAACATTTGGAAATATTACTAGGAAGTAATTAACACATGTTGCTTCCATAATTTCAAAGCCACGCCACGCTGTTCAATTTGATCTAGCACTTTACAACCAGTTTCACGCCGCTATGACGCCTCGTCACTTGAGAGCAAGAAGAATCCTTCAACCGCATAGTTTCAAAATAATTGTTTACCTCTCGCCTACGATGAGACTCCGGATGACCATAAATTCCTATAAATCTCTAATTTCTCTCCTCTCTCGCTCCTTTGATGGTAACATCAACGTGGTATTTAGACAAAGAATTAATAGACAAATTGTTCTCTTCATCCTAAAGAAAAGCTGGCCGACGACCATCATAAATTACTACAAAATAATTATTAAAATTAAGAGCAATTTTATCAATGAAAAGTTGTTAGAAGTAACTAATAAAGGAAACATTAATAAAAAATATTTATTTTCTAATTAATATACATGTGAACTACTCCCGAGTGACTTTTGAGTATTGAGGATTGGAAATATATTTTTGGAAGTAATGATGACACACAGGCACCAAATAAGCGTTTAAGGAAGTATTGGAAGTAAGTTTTCAAAAAACCAAACGCATTTTTTTACTTAGAAATAACAGAAGTAGCATCTAGTTCTTTTACTTCAGCTACTTCATAATTACTTCCGTGCAAACAAACATACCCTAAATATCATAAAACCTCCTTTAACTCTCGATGACTATTAGGAAACTCCCCATTAACTTTCAAAACATCAGAAAACTCCCCTTAAGTTAGGGGTTATCAGAAAACCCCATTTAACTTTGAGATTTTATTAGAATTTTTTTGTTAAAATCTGAAAGTTAAAGTGGCATATTGGAAACAAGTAAAAATAAAATAAATCAACAAAATCAGATGGAAGTTAATTTTTGCAGAATTGAACTATGCTTCAAAATTTTATTTGATTTTTTTGTAAAATATGATAAAAAATATTAGATTAATCTTGTTATATTTATATGTATTTGTATTACTTATTTATAAATATGTATTATATAGTTATATATGTATTTGTTACATACTTATATTATGCTTATTTAAGTATAGTTATATACTTTACTTATATGATATACTTATATGTACTAGATGCAATATACTTATATATAATTATACTTATGTACTTATATAAAGCATATTGGAGATCCAGGACCATTAGCATAGGTGCGCTATAAGTCTATAATATACACATATAAGTATACTTATAATTATATTATATATACTTATATCTTAGTATCTATACCGTGGTAAAAATATACATATAAGTATATAATATAAAATACGTGTGTGTGTGTGTGTGTGTGTAGAGTGAGAGAGAGAGAAATGGGTATGATTGGTACTGATATGGGTGTATCTTCTCTTCAGAACTTAGCGATCCTTATGAGAGCTTGAAGATAGATGATTCTCATGGTAACTTGAGAATAGAAGTGTAAAACAGCACAGTGGAACGTAGGTTGAAGCGTGGAACGAGACGGCGAATCAAAGAATCGAAGCACCCAGTTTTCAGTCCGTGAGTCGACTCATAACAGTCATAAGTCGACTCATCAGGTTGAGTCGACTCATGCCTATCATAGGTCGACTCATGAAACTCAGCCGTTTGTCACCAGTATCTGACGAGTCGACTCATTGCTGGTTTTGTGTTTTCTCCAGTTTCGGACGAGTTAACTCATCTCAGTCGTGAGTCGACTCATCGAAGGTTTCCTGGTTTATTTGGGTTTCTGTTTGCACGAATTCATGTTGGGTTTGGGCTTGGTTATTTATCACTTTGCCATCCACGTTGTTACACCTATATAAGGGATTATTTAGGGTTTCTAATCAATCAGAGGTAATCAAAGTGAGATTCTAATCAAGAGAGATTAGGGTTTAGAGAAAATTAAGAGCTTGTTCTCGATTCTAGTAAGATTGTGAGAGAGGGATTGTAATTTTTTTATACTCATAATCTAGAGAGGGTATTTTTCTTCGCCACATACTGAATTGTTCTTGTGTTTCTGTCATCCTCTTCTCAACCATCTTTGATAATTTCGCGATCAAAGGTGCTCGCACGACGACTCGTATCAAGTTGGTATCAGAGCGATCAGATCCTGTGGAGGGGGCATCCTTTGTATGGTTCTGACTCGATCGCAATACAAGAAGCTAGGCGAGATCCTTATTTTATTAGAAGGAGTCCACGTTTTAAGGAAGAAGAAGATGGCTGAAGGAGACACTTCAGCGAGGATTGATGCATTGGAGAAGCAGATCGAGACGATAAGGTCTACTCTCACATAACTTGTCAGTCTTATCCATAGAGGTGATAAACAAGGTGAATCTTCTTCAAAGTCCAAGAAGAAAATTATGGAGTCCGATGTGGAGAGAGTGGATTCAGATCCCGACGAGGAGGGGGAGACTGTTAAGGCTGCGTTGCATCAAGGGGGTAAGAATTCTTACCAGAACCTAAAGATTGACTTCAAGGTGGAGATTCATGTTTATGATGGGAGTGTCAATATGGAGAAACTCGATGATTGGATCGAATGTATGGAGATGTATTTCACTCTCTACGGATATTCATCTAAGGAGAAGATTGTGTTCATGACTTTGAAGCTTTCAGGAGCGCGTTGACGTGGTAGAAATCCTACTGCAAGGAGGAGAAAAAGGCGGTGTCGTGGAATAAGTTCAAGGAACTACTTAGGAAGCAATTCTATCCGGTAGGGTTCCTCGAAGAGCGTTGGTACAAATGGTATGGCTTGCATCAAAGAGTCAATCAAGCCGTTTAAGAATACACCACAGAGTTCCAGCAGCAGGCGATGATCCTTAACATTGCGACAGAGGAATATTCTGTGTTTATGAAGTATATGGCGGGATTGAGCGATTACATCCTGAAGGAGATGGAGTTATTCACGGTCGAGACTATTGCAGAGGCGAGCGTGAAGGCTATTTCCATTGAGGGTAAGCAGAAGAAGAGCAACAAGACTAAGGAAGACTCCAAACAGACAGGAGGCGAGTCTAGTGGTTTTAAATATAAGGAGGAGAAGAAGGGTGATCAAGGGAAAGCAGAACTGATTTGTAGTCACTACGAAAAGACAATGCATGTTGCTGATCGGCTGGGAGAAGTATCCTCATATCAAGCCAAGAGGATTGAAGAAGAAAGAGGAGAAAAATGCATACGTGATAGCTCAAGGTCCGAAAGAAGTCTCGGGGATGACAGAACCCAACAACAGTCTCAATCTTATAGTAGAAAAACAGGCCACGAAAGAGGACGAAGACCTCCGAGTGTAGCTCTTTGTGCTGAAGTTGTAAGTAAAGTGTTAGACCCTAGAGGGGGGTGATTAGGGTCTTATGCTAATCTAATCCGATTTAAATGCCAATTAAAACTAATTAACAAATATATTCTTGCAAGATAGATATACAAAGAGTTATGTGCAAGAATATGCAATATAAACAATGAGATATATCCTAGATGATGAATTATATATATATGCAAGGATATATAAACTAACACAAGGGGTAAACAATATGAACTAGATAGTGGATCATATAACTAATGAGACAATGGCGAAAAGAACAATGAGCATAAATAAGAATAAACGCCAAAGCACATTCAAACACACAATATGATCACGGAGTTCGGACCTTCCGTCCTACGTCTCCGCTCCCCACTCCCGGGGAGAAATCCACTAACACAATCCGGTTTGAAAGCCGGAACTTCTTCTACACACTCGGTTTTCTAGCTAACCGAAAACTCTACAACTTACACTCTTGCAATCACACTCTACACCCACTAAGTGTTGGACCTAGCCGTGTCTCCCTCAAGTGCTCGGTTACAACCTCTCCCTAGGCACGTCAACCGACGCCACTCCTCTTGGGACGATCCCCGACTCTCACCACACACTCCTCACTCGGTCTCAAACACCAAAGGATGATCTCCACTTGCTCTTGTGAAATTGAATTCACAAACTCAAACCCTCAATTGCTTAAAAGCTTCTTAAACCAAACTTAAACAAACACTAAACAAGTTTAAACCCTTATTAAACTATTTTAAAACATTCTCATCTATATTTGAAAGAAAACAGCAAATGGGTATTTATACCCACTCCAAAACTCAGCCAAAAACTCAAAACAAAAAGACCAAAAAGCCCCTAGAAAAACCAGCTCAGAAATAGCCGTTGAAGTCTAACGGCTCTATTGTCGGTCGACCGAAAATTCCGTCGGTCGACCGATGAGAGCAAAAATACGAGGAAAACATTCTGGACCATCGTCGGTCGACCGGTGTGGTCGACCGATGGAGTTTTTCGGTCGACCGGACCGGTCGACCGACAGACTCTCTGTCGCCCAGTGAACATATGAACTCAGGTTCGGTCGACCGAAAACTGACATATATAAAATTGATTTGCTAATTTTAAAATGCTGTTTAAAAATATCAAATAAATTCCAAAAAAATGTAAAACTTTGGGGAATGATTGTAGACATGATAATAAACATGCTACAGCGACTGGTTATCAGAAAGGACATCCCAAATGAAAAATATCATCATTTTACAAAATAGTCCAAAACATGAAAATGTAAACACATGAGTTTGATGTTTTGACCTAAACCAACTTTTAAAACTTTACAAAATGATTTTATAGACTTAGTAAAACATGTATAAACTGATATTAAAGTCTACAAACTA